GGAGGGATATTGATGTCAACTCGTGTAACCGTTCGTCTCCCAGGACTTCATATCAACGGGCGGCGCTGTGCTGGGCCAAGGCTCCTCTGTGGCCTTGAAGACAGAAGCGTTACGCTCGGATCTGTCGCAGCTGGAGTAGAGTTCCTCGCGTCTGGGCCATTGCAAGCTGAACTCGAATCAGTTTTTCCGCACGGCGGAGGCTTCGTCGCTGGACGCGGAACGGAAATTTGCTCACGACAAGAAGCCAGAGGTAAACAGAGTTTCGAGCAAAACGAGGGCTTCGAGAAACAGCGTTCTCCGCAGGTACAGAATCACCAGGGCCGAGATCTCGCGGCACAGGAGGGCCGCCGCATCCCAGGCCACAAAGAAAAAACAACAAATGGGCCACGTAGCTCTAGCGATCCAGGATAATCCCGACTTGTGGCAGCGGCCCGGAGGCCGTCTGCATTGGGAGGGGGACCTCAGCGAGGCTGACATGCAACGCATCACCCACGCTGGGGACAACGCGGCGCTTCAGCAGTACATCAGCGAACGCCAGGCAGATTTACAAGTTGAGGCATCAGCCATCAGACGTGCAGCGATAGACGAGGCGAAGCAGGCAGCAGCAGCCGCGTGGGTACCATGTTCTAACAGGGAGTGGCTGGTGTGGTTGGAGGAACACGACGTGGAGTTTCGGGGCCTCTTGCGTCACGCCACCGCTTCGAGACGTGCTCGTTCACAGCGTTTGGAGCCTCTTGCCGAAGGCGTCCCTTGCGCCGCCCGACTGCAGCCCTGCCGGGAGCCTCCGCCTGCGCCGGCCTGGGTGCAGTTGCTCCTGAGTGTCGGCTTGGCCTTTTTCTGTTTGAAGACGGGCCCTCTACTCGCGGACAAGCTTGTGTTTTTTTTCTGTCACTGCTTGTCGAGAATATGGGGCGTTCCCCTTGGTGGAGGTGTCCAATTGCGCGTTTGGGTTCCGCTGCCGAGTCATGCATCGCTCGTTTTTGCCAGTGCAGCAGATGGCTACGTCTTTCAGCATTCCTGATGACGCAGAGCTTTCCTGCCTTGACGTGCGCGTCGACGGCGTCAGCCCAAAAGAAGTAGAGGTGAGAGTCGTGGGCGTCAGAAACGTGGAGCCGACAGTCCAGAAGCGCAGGAAGCCCAGGGATGAAAGTGGGGATTCCGACAGCGACGGGAGCTTACCAGACGATGATTTCCAGAGCAACTCGAGCGCCGAATCAGTGTGCTCGGACATGGAGTCTGGTGCCGAGGATGAGGCGGAAGAGCTTGGGCCCGATCCTGACCCCGATCCAAGCGACGGCGACGGGTCCGACCCAGACGAGCTGCAGTCACACCGGAAACCCCGAGGCACACATGTCGTCTGGAGCAATGGTTACTTCATAGATTCGCAGCCTTACTTTCAATGACACGAAGATTGTCATGGTAGGGCGGTGGGCCACGGAGAGCGAGATGGGCACAGCGTTGAAGTCCAAGACTGTGCTGATGAAGGACTTCGGCGATGCGGGCGACCAGCCGACGCGCTCCTGCCTGGTTATGCGGGCGTGGATGCTCATGCGAGCTTCCCAGCGTGGATGGGTAGACCGGCGCGCGCGCAGGCGCCGTTGGTTCGTCGATGAGGAGGCGCGGCTGCGCAGAGACATAGCCGAGCTCCGCGTCCCTGGAGGCTGTGCTGGCAATGCCGCCGCTGATGCGAGAATGCATGAGTGGGCTTCGTCAGTGTTGCTTCCATAGAGCCATTCGCGCGACGTGGGGCCAGCAACCATAGCCTGTGTCCCATGTGGCCACATCGGCAGTTTCTTCCCGTCGGCGCGCGTCAATCGGGAAAGCAGGCGGGGGGGGGCTACCTCGCGGGGGGAGGGGGCGGCAGGGGGGGGGGGGGGGGGGGGGGGCGGGGCGAGGTGGAGGAGAAGGAAAAGGAAAAGGACGGAACGAGGACGAGGAGGAGAGAGAGAGAGAGAGAGAGAGAGAGAGAGAGAGAGAGAGAGGAGAGAGAGAGAGAGAGAGAGAGAGAGAGAGGGAGAGAGAGGAGAGAGAGGGAGGGAGAGAGAGAGGAAAGAGAGAGAGATAGGGAGAGAAAGATATGTATATGTACAGAGAGAGAGAGAGAGAGAGAGAGGGAGAGAGAGAGAGAGAGAGAGAGGGATATATATATATATAGAGAGAAACACATATAATGAGGAGGAGGAGGAGGAAGAGAAGAACATGGAGGACACAAAATATGAGAAAGAAGGGGAGGAGTGAGAAGGAGACATATGAGGAGGACAGGGATGAGGAGGAATAGGACGAGGAAGAGGAGGGGGGGCAGGAGGAGGTGGCGGCAAAGGGGAAGGAGGCAGAGGGGGAGAAGGAGGAAGAGGAGGAGGAGGCGAAGGAGAAAGGTGAAAAGGTTGATGATGAGAAGGAAGAGGAGGTGGAGGGAGGAGGAGGAAGGCAAGGAGACAGAGGAGGAGGATGAGGAGGAGGATGGATGAGGAAAGGGAGGATGAGGAGGGAGGAGGTGGAGGAGGAGGAAAAGGGAGGAGGAAGAGGAGGAGGAGGAGGGGGGTGGAGGAAGAGGAGGAGAAGGAGGGGGAGAAAGAGGAGGAGGAGGAGGACGAGGAGGAGGAGGAGGAGTAAAACAGTCAAACACGAGGAAGACAATCAGACGCGAGGGATGCAAGCAGACCAAGACAGGGACAGCTCCAGGAAGGCTCGAATACTTTGGAGGGTCGTGCTGGAAAGCCGATCTTTGTGGCCGCGGGAACTCCAAATCGCCTCTGGAGAGACCTAGGAGGACCACCCGGCGCGATAGCCTTACACGGAGCCCGGAGAGGTCCCCCGGTAGACGGATTCGCTTGTTTGACCGAATATGCACCAACGAATTGTCCTCGCTGGTCCGCAGAAGGCGCATTCTTATCCGCAGTTCTTGTCCGCTGATGGCCGCTAATGGCCGCTAATTGCCGCCAGTGGCCGCGAATGGCGGTTAATGGTCGCTTAGGCGGCCATTTGTGGCCATTGGCGGCTATCAGCGGCTATTAACGGCCACTAGGGGCCATCAGCTGTCATCAGGTGTCGGGAAGACGGTTCCGTCTTCATGGTGTCCTTCTCCGCCGTGGGGTTCATCAGAGCGCAGCCGCTTCGCTATAGCAGTTTGCCTACAGTAGGTCTGTCCTCGCCATTCTTCCTCACGATTCGTTGGCGCCCGTGTGATCGCCGCGTTATCGTCGTCAAGGTAGACTGACATTCGGTTAAGGGGGATTGAGCCTGTCTGTATGATCTTCTCGGGTCGGGGGTGTCGCAGGGGCAAGGGTGGTTGCATTTGAGATGCAATGTATTCCTCACCATCGCCTCAGTGGGGGGGGGGGGGGGGGGGGGGCGCGATCTGTCCGCCCCAACGGTGTCGCAGGGGCGCAGGCGGTTGCATTTGAGACGCAATGTGTTCCTCACCATCGCCTTAGAAGGGGAGGGGGCGCGATCTGTCCGCCCCAGCGGTGTCGCGCAGACGGTTGCATTTGAGACGCAATGTATCCCTCGCCATCGCCTCAGAGGGGGGGCGCGATCGGTCCGCCCCAACGGGCGCAGGCGGTTGCATTTGAGACGCAACGTATTCCTCACCATCGCCTCAGAAGGGGGGGCAGGATCTGTCCGCCCCAACGGGCGCAGGCGGTTGCATTTGAGACGCAATTTATTCCTCGCCATCGCAATAGAGGGGGGGCACGATCTGTCCGCCCTAACGGGCGCAGGCGGTTGCATTTGAGACGCAGTGTATTCCTCACCATCGCCTTAGAGGGGGGCGCGATCTGTCCGCCCCAACGGACGCAGGCGGTTGCATTTGAGACGCAATTTATTCCTCACCATCGCCTTGAAGAGGGGGGGCGCGATGTGCCTGCCCCGACGGGCGCAGGCGGATGTATTTGAAACGCAATGTATTCCTCGCGATCGCCTTAGAGGGGGTGCGCGATCTGTCCGCCCCAACGGGCGCAGGCGGTTGCATTTGAGACGCAATTTATTCCTCGCCCTCGTTTTCGAACGCACAGAACGGCCCCGAGATGCCTCAAGAGGGCCCTAATATGACTCAGTAAGGGCATCGCATTTAACACGAAATTAACACACCACAAGTACAAACCAGGATGAGGCTTGTTATATTAGTGCTGCAATGTGACAGTGAAACACATGTGTCAACGCCATCCGTCCGCGCGATTTGTTAACGCCGTCCGTCTCGGTCTGCACGATGTGTTAACACCCACCCTTTGGTCACGCCGTGGCTTCAGCATCCGCCCCGTTGCAAGTCTCAAGTGATACTTTTGGTTCCCAGCCACGTGTCCTGAATGAAATGCATGAGGCCGCTGGGTGACTGGGGAGGCCCAGAGAGTTACTTCAGACCGTTTTTTTTGTGAAGCCGAAGAGAGCACATGCGGTACGTAAGGCCAGGTTCCCTTCCGAGTTGTGAAGACATATATGTTTGGTCACCCTGTTCCGGGCCCAGGCAATTCCCATACGCGGGGGGGTCCCATTTTGTGATCTCTTAGTTTTGGCCGCGTGGCCGATGCTGTCCCAGCAACTCCCCAAACGCACTTGCACTGAAGCGCGCGGCAGTCTCCAGTGCCGTCCCCTGCCAGGGGGGGAACCCATTTTGTCAAGTCCGCCTTGCCCCCCTTCTAAGGGGGGCGACGGATGGTGTTAACACCCTCAGCCCGCGCGATATGTTAGCACCGTGTGGCGGTTCCCCAGGAGAGGCCCAAGAGAGCCCAAAGGTGGCTCCAAGAGCACCCCCAGAGGGCTACACGAGGCACAAAAGTACATTCAGATGGCAGCGATCATCGGAATCTCCGTTGGGCCCCTTGTTGGGCTCGTCCTGGAACCCTCAGGGGCCTCCATATTGAGGATGACATTTCGTTTTCACGGTTTGTTAACACAAGGCCACTTGCGTGCTGCGCAGAGCAGTTGAGCAATTCCGCACGCAGAGATCCAGCTTTGCCCCGTCCTCCGGGGCCGTTGCCTCGAGTGCGTCCGGCACCCGCCAGCCTGGATTGTGCGAGTTTTCCAGTTCTCCCGTCTGCGCCTTCCAGCGAGCGCGCCCGTGCCGATTGCCAGCGCCGCTAAGCTGACCGAGGCCATGCGCAATCTCAAGCATCACTCGCAGGACGTGAAGAAGGCAGAGAAACGTTTGAGGAACATCGGGGAGGAGGCGACGTCCGATAACGTGCAGCTGTGGTTGGCCTTGCGGGAACTGGGTTTCAAGCGGGCGAAGAAGTCTGAGTTCGAGGGCGCTAAAAACAAACTTGTCAGCGAGAAGACGAACAGGATTGCCAACGAGTGCTGGTTGGTGCACAAGCACAATAAGCCAGACCTGCAAACAGAGATCGGTGCGGAGTTCTTCTTGTGCCCCGAGGGTTTGCCGAACCTGCCAAAGGGATTGGACCCGTCGAAAGTGTGGATCGTGGACAAGTGCATCCCTCTCGAAAAGCTCGGCGCTGGTGTCATGACGTGGGAGACCGCGGTGGGGAATCGCCTGTCTGTGCGGCCTTCGCAGGAGGGCGCTCCAGCCATGGAGGGCGGCCCTGCGCCTGGCTCGCCAAGGGGCGACGGTGCGGACAGCGAGCTGTGCCCGCCAGAGAAGAAGAGGCCGCGCCTGCAGAGACGCGATTCAGACCCAGGCAGGGCGTGCACCATGGATAAGATAGCGCAGCGAACGGCAGACTGCATCGAGAAGAAGCAGTTTCGGAGCTCCGATTTGCCCCGCAGTGATACGGTGGAGTTCTGGACGAGGAGTTTGGTCAAGCACGTGGAGACAGCAGGCGCGGGGCCATTCCCGGAGCACTTCAGCAATTGCGTGAAGGGCGTGGTGAAGGCGCTGCTGAATTCTCGGTGTTACAGCGAACTAAAGCACTTGACCGCTTGGAGACCTTGTTCGAGGCGTTCCGCGCGCTACAGTCGCGGACCGCGATGGCCGCGCAGAAGGGCGATGTGCCAGAGGCCTCCGAGGCGAAGCTCCAAGCTTTCCTGACGGGGGCGGTGGCCTAATGGTGGTGCTTGGCCAAAGGGATCGACCACCCCGATGGCTCGAAGGATCCTGGTGGCGCGTGGTCGGAGGCAGAAGTTCTCCTGGCGCAGCGGTGGGTGGAGTCGTCCACGGCGTTGTCCAAGGCGTTGGGGAAATACTCAGTTGAGAAGGGCTCCTTCCTGGGCGTCGTCCTGGGGCATTCGCAGGCGAGGAAAGCGCCGACCAATGATCCCAAATCGTCAGGGGCAGTGTCTGGCGAGGCCGCCGCCACCGCAGAGGCCGCGACTCCTCCGACCGCAGAGGCAGCGGCTGCTCCAGCCGCGTCGGCGCAGGTCAGCCTCGCCCCCCCCGCGGGGCAGGGCGCCGCCGCGCCCCCGGCCGGCCCGGCGGCGGCGGCCGACGGCGAGCAGTGGGCGGTGGGCGACAAATGTGGCCTCAGCGCTGTCAAGAACAAGGCTGCGCTGAACGGGCAGAAGGCCTTTGTCCGCAAGGTGCTCAGCAAGAAGTTGCGAGTGCAATTAGAGACTGGTCCTTGGAAAGGGCAGGAGGTAAATCTCGAGAAGCAGCGAGCGAGGAAGAGTTCGGACGTGGCACCTGCATCTGGCGGCCCGCCGGGCGGCGCGGCCAGCCATGGCGGCGGTGCCCAGGCCGAGGCCGACGCCGAGGCCCAGGCCGCTAACAAAGCCGGATGACATTCAATGAGTTCGGCCATTGCGCCGAGAGGCAGTCCCAGGCTCCTGGCGAGAGGCGGCGATCGGAGGTCCTGACATAAGACGTGCCGTTGAAGGCACGCGCCCCGTCGGGGCACGTGGTGGTGCACGACCCTGGTTTTATTTCGAGGTTGCGGCATGCTGACATTTTTTCGAACAGGTGTTCGCCGTCCTGTGTTTCTCCCGTCTTGACCTCCACCTCATATCCATATTCAATTTACTTGTCTACCGCATCGTCCCCCTGTTTTTTTGCTGTCTTAAGAAGTTCCGTTTGCTCCGTGATTCATACTGCTCGGCTTGACGCAGTGGTAGTTCGATCGAGTAAGATACATATATAGACAGTTGGGACCGCATCGATGGAAACATTAGACTGCCCTCATCTACCCCCGCCTCATGTCCTCCTTGTTGTCCGCTTATTATCCTAGCCTGCTTCTTTGTTTTTGCGTGGGCGTTGTTTCTGCCAGCAGAAGGGGGCCGACCATTCAAACGTGCTGGAGGTCGCGCGATCGTGATTCGCTTCATTTGTGTCCCTTTCTTCCTGGTCATATTCTAGCTTATCGTCGTCGTCATGCCGTGTTCATTGCGCTGGCCAATGCCTTATCGTCGTCGTCGCCCCCCCGACCATAACGGCAAGTGGATCATCCACTCTCCTCGGTGGCCCTTGGGGCCCATGCTGCCTCATCGCTGGCAGTTGCGGACGTGTTCACGAGGCAGACCTTCTTCTTCCGCCTCCTTCTCCTCTCCTTTCTCCCCCTCCTCCCCCTCCTCCCCCTCCTCCTCCTCCTCCCCTTCTCCCTCTCCCTCCTCCTCCTCCTCCTCCTCCTCCTGCTCCTCATCCTCGTTTCCTTCCTTTTCCTCCTCCTCCTCTTCCTCCTCCTCCTCCTATCTTCCCTGTCCTGCTCGTGAGGCCCGCCCGCTGGGCGGGCCCGTCGTTTCCCGCCGCTCCGTGCGGGCGGGCGGTATACGGCGACGGGTTCGCCCAGCCTTTGTGGGCGGCCCCGCCGTATCCCAGCACCCGGTGCAGACGGGCGTTGGGCGTCGACGAGGCCGCCCATCTCGCCAGGTGTTGTTCGGTCGTCGGACGGCTCCGTGAGGCTCTCAGAGGCTCCTGACCTCCTCCTCCTTGTCTTCCTCCTTGTCCTCCTCTCCCTCCTCCTCCCCCCTGTCCTCGTATCCTTCCTGTTCGTCTTCCTCCACTATTCCTCCTCCTCCTCCTTCGCCTTCTCCTCCTCCTCCTCCTCCTCTTCCTTCTCTTTTTCCTCCTCGCGCTCCTGCCCCCCCTCCTCCTCGTCCTTCTCCTTCTCCTTCCTCCTTCTCCTCATCCTCCTCTGGCATTCGCTCAACTGCTCGACCACCTCCGTTTCGTCTTCGTGCGCTCGCGCGGCCGCGTGCGGATTCTGAAGCCCATCCAAGAAGCGTCCTGCAGGACTGTTGCGCTTCGGGGGTATATCGAGTTGCCTGCGGCGCGGCCCGCCACCGTGCCAGACAAGCACCTTCTGTTGCGAGTGTTCGACTCGTGGTGGCGCTGCCGATGGGGGGGTTCTCGATGTTGATCCATCTAGGCAACCGTTGATGGGTGGCAAGGGATGCCCTCTCCCACCTCCCACAAACCTCACACGAGCGACGAATCTGTATCATGTGTTCGTCCGCCGCTCGATACTTTAATTCGTCAACAGCGCAAACCATCAGCAGCGCATGGTTTGAGGTGGGTTCTTGAAGCGTTCTCGGATTTTTGGGGGATTGACCCCGCCTTGGGACATGCGCACATTCGCGGCCGTCCAAATTCGAGTGGGGCCTGCAGTTTTGTCTTTTTGGCATTGCGGGCAACATCGACTGGATGCCGCCAGTGGCCGCTAACGGCTTCTAGTGGCCGCTAATGGCCGCTGCCGTCGCCGTTCGCGACAACGCATGCTCCCCATGAGTTGGGATGTAACATTTCCGCGGTGCGCAGAACCCGAATGACATGGCGGGCGTTGCTGCGCGGCAGCGAAGCGCGACTGGTGAGGATGGGGCGCCGTCGTCGTCTGGTGAGGACATGCCAGTCATCCAGGTAGTCACCGTCGACGATGGCGATTCTGGCGATGCCGCGGGGGCGTCCGTGCTTCGTCGACCTGCAGCTGCGGTCGCCACGCGCGGCCGTGCGTCTGGGGATGAGATCGTTGGGGTGAGGACTTGCCGATGCTTCCAGGGGTTACGGTGGAAGGGGATGGCGCGGGTGCTGCCCAGGGGTGATCGGGGGCCGTCGCGCCGCAGGCAGCGGCTGCGGGGCGCGCTTTCTGGGCGCGGCTTCGCCCGCGGCGCCGCCGAGCGATTCTGATGGCGAGGAGGTGCCTCTGATCCCTGGAGTGACCGTGGACGCGGGGGGTGCTGACGATGGCGCAAGCAATGGCAGTGGTCCGGCCGCGCGTCCGCGCGGTGCCTGGAGAGCGCGCCGGAGGCGCGGGGCCGCGGGCGGGGGGCTCGCGTCTGAGGCAGAATCCAGGCAGTTCCAGGACTACGTGGATGAGGACCGTTGTAAAGGGCTGATGCGGGGAGGAGGCTGGGGGCGGCTGCAGTGCCGTTTTCGGCCGACGAAGGGGCGCGACGTGGTGCAGCCGGTCAGTCTTCAAACAGTGCCTCGCGCAGCTGCGCGCCTCCGAGGTAGATTATAGCGACAAGGATTGCAGGGGGGCGCTGCGATTGACCAGTGAGGAGATCCGACGGTATCCCCTGGAAGAGCAGTATCAGGTGCAGCTTGCAGGGCCGCAGTGCTGCTCCCAGATCGATCCGCGCTCCAAGGGGAACAGGCTGCGCGCGAACGAGAACGCGGGCCAGTTGTCCGGCGAGGACGAGGGTGGCGACGCAGGCGCCTGAGGGCTCGGGGCGTGCGCGGGCGCCGACGACGGGGCGTCGCGCCTGTTCTGCATGCGGAATTGGGCGCAATGCGATCGGTGCCGTTGCTGGCGTTTGCTCTTGCCTGCCTGCGCAGCGCGCGCTCGTGGGGATGAGTGCCACAAGGTCCGCGACACCGACTTGGTCTGGGAGGAGTGGTTGCGCGGGGCGGCGGATCGGTGTGCGGGGGCGGTTGCTGCGTCGGCGAACCTGGCCGCCGCGCGAGGCGGGGGCGGCGGCGACTCCGTGGGGGGCGCGGGGCCGGAGAGCGGCGGTGGCGCGGGCGACGTGCGGCGGGGTGGTCGGAAGCGGCGGCCGGGGCGCAAGACGTCGCAGGAGGAGTGGGGCGAAGCGGGGGAGGGCGCGGGGGCGATTCCTGGACCGGATGGCGAGGGCGCTGCTCGCGGCGGAGCGGGCGTCGACGTCGCGGATGGCGCGGTGAACGAGGGTGGCAGTGCCGAGGGCGCGGGCGGGGGCCGCGGGCGTCGGCGGTTGGGGCGCAAGGCGCCCGAGGTAGAGGCCGGCGGAGGCGCTGCGGGGCGCGGGGCGCGGAAGCGGCGGCTGGGGCGCAAGACGTCCGAGGTGGAGGCCGCGGGGGCTGGCGCGGGGCGCGGGGCCGCGGAGGGCGGTCGCGCTGGAGAGGAGGCCGCTGGGGCGGCGAGGGCGTCGTCGACGGGGCGCAGAAGGGCGCTCGAGTGCAAAACGTCCGCGGAAGAATGGGCCGTGGAGGGCGGCGCCGGGCGCCTGGCCGCGGAGGGGCGCGGCGGCGAGGTCGCCGCGGAGATTGTGGAGCTCTCGGCTTCGGAGCGCGAGGACGAGCGCTCTGCGTCGGACCGCGAGGTCGCCTCGGAGGACGACGTGGCCATGCCGGACGAGGTGCGCGGCGCGCTCAGCGCGGAGCAGGTGCGTTTCGTTGGTGCCGGACCACTTGCGGAGGCAGATGTGGTGGGGGCGCTAGCGGCCGAGGGGGTGGAGGGGCGTGCGTCGCGCCGCTCTGGGTTGCCTTGTGGCGGGGGTGGGGGTGCGCGCGCGTGGGCAGTGGCGTCCGTGCCACGCCTGAAGTTGAGGCGGCTGCCGGATCTGGTGAATGCCGTGCGTGAGTGCCTGCCCCCGCGGCGCATTTGCAACCCGTGTCCATTCCACCCGAGGGGGTATCTAACATTGCGGTCCTGCGCTGGAGCCGTGTCTTTTCACGTGTCCAGGCCACCCAGGGGGGTGTCTAAAACGGTGGTCCCGTTTTGTTTTCACGTGTCCAGGCTGCTCTAGGGTGTCCAACATGGGCTTCCTGGGTCCTTCCTGGTACTTGGAATTTAACGTCGAAAGTTGATTTGTACTTGGTATCGATTCGTTGACTTCTTGGCCTCCAAGCGCTTCTGGGCATTCCTGGGCAGTCCTGCGCCCCAGACGACAGCATGTTAGATGCCCTCCCT